GAAATTTGGGAGTTGGACATCCAATTTCTGGAAGTTGTTGAACAAAAACCCAGTATTTAAATAAATGAAAAGGAAACCACCAGAGCGGTTGGGAGTCAATGCCCCAAAACCCAGTGGGTTTTGGGGGGTTGGTGAACCAAAAAAAAACCAGGGGATTCCTCCCGGCTGCACAGAGTGCACTCTTGACGTCCGAGAGGATTTCTCTGGGCTGTCAAGGGTGTACACCTTGACATCCAAGAGAAACCCTCTCAGTTGTTGAGAGTATAGCCCTCAACTGCCAAGAGAAACCTCTCTGCCATTCAGGGTGTACACCTCAATGGCCAAGAGAAACCTCTTGGAAGTTTTAGGGCATCAACACCCAACCCCTCTGGGGGAATTGTTTTTATTGATTTAAAAGTTTTGGGGTTTCAACTCCCAAGCCTTCCAACAGGTTTGAGGGATTGACTGCCAATAATTGGGTAATACGGGGGATTTTTTTTTGGGGGGGGGGGGAGAGATCAGGGCTTGGGAGTTGACTCTCCAATTTTTGGAAGTCAATTAAGCAAGCCCCCCAAAAAAACTCAGGGGTAATTTGAAAGTTTATATCTATGCATATAAAAAAACAAGCCCAATTGGTGTGATATGATTGCCATAGTTGTGTAAGCCTTCATGTCTCATCATCTGGTGTGAGTCCAGGTAGTGAGTACAAGCCCCAAGAAATCTTTTTGTACTGAATCCAGCTGCTTTGCAGCCACTGTTAAGCTGGCATAATTTTGTCAAGCCTCCTCAAGCTTGCCTTGAAACCTCTGGCAAGCTGATGTTGAAGGGTCAAGCCAACCCTTGGGGATTTCACCCCCCAATATGAAGCACCCCAAAATTTTGGTCTGGGCGGCATGAGTCAAGTTGACGGAACCTCTTCCATCAAGCAGTTGTCCACCAGAAAGAGTTGTGTATGGAAAGGGGGGAGGGGTGGTTGGTCAAAAATCCCAGGCACCTAATTGGGACTTGTAATCCCAACCCCCTCCTATGCTTTCTCTTCACTTTCTGTGCCCAATTTTGTTGTACACCACCGGTCGTGGTGGATGGCATTTGGATACCCAAATGGATTTACCAGATGCCATTCACCTTTGGCCCTACAAGGTGCATCCATTGGATGTGCTTTGCATTTCACTGAACCAGGATATTTGGGCCATACCATCCATTGAATGGAATTCTGGGAGGCCCCTGAGCAGAAAAAATAGCAGGCAGCCAGGGTTGAACCCCCAACCTGCAGCATCACTGCCTAGACTAACCGGTTGGATCAGCCTGTCCAACGAGTGCTTGGATGGATTTGTCCGAGTGGCTCTTGGGCATGGCTGTCCAGCAAGTTGTCCAACCGGCTTGTCCAAGCAGTTGCCAGACAAGGTCATCTGCTTGGACAGGCAAGTCTGACGTCCTGTTGGACATTCATGTCTGAGAACTTGTTGGACAAGCCGGTCCAAGGACTTGTTGGACCGGCCGGTCCAAGAAATCATTTGACCCAGTGCCACAAAAGCAGTACATCAGCTACACTAACACTACAGTCATTTGGATGTCACTCCTGCGCAATTATTCACCTCTTCAGTGACTGTGGCCACCAGCGTCGGATAACAAATTGGGCCGCAGGAGCAGGCAATTGTCCATGGTGTAAAGACTTAGATACAGAGTCTGCCCACAAGTCAGCTATGTGCCAAAGAACCCCTCCCCTTTGCATTTTGTGATGATTTTTTTTACCACTGACATCCCCTCATTTGAATTTTTTCATGAGGTTTTGACCATCAACCCCCCCTCCCAGTGGTAGATGGCTAAATTTGGTTTTTAAATGCATGTGTAGTCTAAGTGGTATCTGAGATGAAAGAAACAATATTTATTGAAGGATTATTATCATAGAAAGAAGGTGCTGTGGGAAGACTAATTTGTTTCCTGAGGTGTGTGATATGTAGTATGTAGTAGCTATAAAATAAAGTACTATATGTTATGTAACCAAATGAGTGTAAAGACTATCATTCTATAATGTTCTGAACTGGATAGAAAATGAATTAGTATGTAGCATTTGTAATTTTGTATATATGATTGCAATATCATGGAAACTACTATGAATAGCTATTTTGTACTATGCATGATCTTGATTGGTCTTACCACAGCATCTAGACATAACATCAAATTGAATTGGTTTGACCCAGGTATAACATGGAGCCTATGGAATCTTAGTGAAGAGTGTGAGCACATGAAACAAAAGTAAATTAAATTCAGAGTGGAAATTCAACACAGAATCTAAATCATATGGATTCAGAGGTAAAATCTGATGAATAGATTCAATTTTGAATTTTGAAACTACTAAGACAAAAAATTACCCCTGTGAGAATAAAAGTACATTCTAAGGAGTTGTGAATGATGCAATGTTTTGATGAAATGGTTTTTCCAAGGAAAAACTTCCATTCCCTTGATCTTTTCAAAACCCCAACTCATGAATCTGTCATGGGACTGTTTATATTCACCCCTTTGTCCAATGCGGATCAAAATTGAGATGAAGGTTTTTTCATTCAAGAACACCTGTAGAAACTTTGCAGGATTTGATTTGGAGTAGTAAGAGATCATTACTTTTACTGCCACTTGTGTGATCAACTTAGATTTCTTTTTTTCATTCTCCCTCTTGCAAAAATTCAATGCTTCTAGCATCTTCCTTTGAGTGTCTGTCCTCTTCATGGGCTGTGGAAATTTGTGATCAGATGTATGTGTTTGGGTATTATCTGAACAAGTGAGAAGAGAATAGAATTCATTTTGAAGCCCATATTGCTCATCAAAAAACACTTCATCCTCAAAATTCTGACCAAAGTTTTGAATCAATCTGCAATTTATCTTCAAAATTAGATCCATGACATTTTCCATTTCCTGAATAAACCATTCTTTTACCATCAACCTTGGGTATAACCTCATGTTGCTGTTAGGGATTTCCATTTGTGAACTCCTCCAACTTTCAATTTTTGGTATTAGGGAATGGTCTTTTTTCAAGTCTATCATTGGAAGGAATTGATAATAAGTAGTTTGGAAATTGGAAATAAATATCAAATTCACTTGAGAAGTTTCTTCAAAACAATTCTCAGTTTGAATATCAATCAAGTTACCTTTTGGTTTTGCAAAACAATTCTCTCCAATTTCATTGTCTTTACTTGGGATTTGTTTCACAAATCTATGAAATTGGGTTATTTTTTTGATTCCAAATTGAGAATATTGACCATAATTTCTATCTCTGACTACTTCTTGATCCAATTCTTTCTCCCATGGGAAGAATTTGATATCTCTTATTCTTCTTTGAAAATATAACATTGCTGTTTGATGTGCGGGTGGGATCACACTCCAATATTGTATCTTCTGTAAAAAATTAGGGAAGTGTGAATCATTTGTAAATAATAATTTCCACTTGTGATCCATAAAATCAGGGTCAATCAAATTCTTTTTTGGTTTGTAGTAAGAGGCCATAACATTCACTGCAGCTTCAGACATCAAAGTTTGATTTGGGCAAACTGTTTCAATTAGGGCTTTCTTCTCAGGTAGGAAGATTTCATGACTTATTTGATTATATTTTTCAGAAAGAGATCTGATGATCAGATGTGTTATTGAACTTTTGTTTGATTTTTTTGTCATAAGATCCCTATTATGGGTTTCCCCATCAAGATAATCTTGTTTCCTTGATCTGGCGCTAAAAAGACCCAAAGCCCAATTCTGCAAATTTGATTGTTCTTTCTCATATTCCTCTTTTCCTGGATTAAGAATTCTTAGAAATTTTGAATTTACACACCAGAGGAGATGGGCAAACTCTTTAAAGCTGTTGCATGCCTTTGGGTCAGCAAATTCTTCAAATGGAACCAGTTTTTCAAAATTTATCAAGGGATAGGCAATTTCAGCAAGAGATGTGATGAAGCTTGATATCTGGGTGGCATTATCCACCATGATTTCATGATAAAGTTTATCTGATATTCCTAGCTTCATTGTGTAGATCCAGGCCCAGACATCAGGACTGATATCTTCAAACTGTACTTGATCCTTGTGGAAATCCATGTCTGTTTCTTTGATTTCACTTGCTTTGTTCAGATGATGCTGACCAGACTCATCAATCCCATCTACTGTTCTTGAATGTCCAGCTTGATTGTATTCTTGCAAATTATTATTTTTGAATTCATTTTTCAACTTGGGCTCAACCGTTTTTTTTCTTGGAAATCTCTCCATGGGGGATTTAAAATATTTGTGTGGGGGTGGCAATACCATTTCCATTTCAGTTTTAACTAAGGAACCAGGAAACTCTTGTGACTCTGGCCTTCCAATTGCAGTTGTGGCTCCATGAAATTCAGTTTCTTCTGCTGGTGGAGGATGGTTACCTGCAATTCATTGTAGGTACAAGTCAGCAGAGCTCTTGCAATTTATTTTAAACTTGGAAGTTTGAAAAAAAGCAATCAAGCTTACTTAGACCTAATTGTAAGTTTAACCAATGCGGGCCATCATCATTTGTCTCCATTTTGACTTGGCTTGTGTTTCCCTGGTTGATGCCATACCTTTTGAGTTTCTTTGCATGACGACCATAATGGACATGGTCATCTGAAGGAGTCTGAAGGGAAGGAGCTGAATCCTGCAGGTAGGTATTCTTCGAATCACCATCATTGGAAGTACCTTGCCTCCAATGACCTGGAGGGTAGTTAGTCTTCAGCCGCCGTGATTTCACATAATAAGGATAAACCAAGCTCAATGGTTCCTTGATACCATGGTGCGTGTAAGAATGTAGATTGGGGAAACTTGAAAAAAAAACCTCACTCAAGAAATCGATTTCCGAGAGGACTTCCTCACCGCTATGCTTCACCAGCTCTCTGGGACAAAACAAATGGAAATCTGATGGCTGAACCGACTGCTTGGTTGATCTATGTTTAGAACTCTCCCGCAATCAGTCTGTGAGATCCAAATATGATGACTTGTGAGCTTTTTGATCACTTAACATGTGCCTAGAAATATCGTTCTCAGTTGATTTCAGTGCCTCTGACGATGAAGTAGGCAGCTGGGTGAAGTGGCTTTGTACTTGAGTAACTATTAGGGTCAGAAAACTGCATCCTGGAATCTTTTTCATACTTGTGAACATCGGGGTTTTTGATCTGCAAGGTGTGGACAAATTAAGAAGATGATTTCGCGCAAGTGACTCTTGTTCGCAGCAGGAAGCAGTTTTGACCTTAGAAGAAACCAAGAGCATATATCTATCATCATGATAGACTGCCAGGCTGGTGTCGAAATATAGTTTTGGTTTGGCTGGAGAGTGAGCCGAACGATTTAAGAAGCCCCGCTCTGACGAACAGCTTACGCCAAACCGTAAACGCATGTCAAAAGTATCATCGTTTTTCAAACACTTATTCCAAATGTGAAACTTTTTTGCATTCCCAACGTGTGTACTACGTCTTCGTCGCGACTTGCTGGCCTCATCGTGCTCGGATCGGTTAAAACCAGGGAATCTTTTCCCCCGTCTTTTTTGACGTCGACTGCTCATGTCTCTGGGCAGAATAACTGAAAACCCCCTCCTGAGTATCAAACAAATATCATACATTGGCCATGCTAAACTACCAGTAAGATTTGAATTTTCTTCCATATTTCCTCAAGTCTTGCTAGGACTTGCTCATCTCATTACCATGACGGAATTCTGGATATCCATGCCATTTGTATTAGGGAATGAATGTTTTGGGAAGTATATATCCAGTAAAGTGGTTTGAAAAATAGACTAGCTGCACTTACTCTAGAGGTGGCAAGATGTAGGGTTAGAAAAATGCATCCTGCATTTTTTTCATACTTTTGAGTATCCGGGCTAGTTTGTAGTATGTATGTGGGTAAGAGAGTGTTTTTGCGGAAGTAACTCCAGTTCAGGACAGGAACCAGTGTTAGCCTGAGAAGAGCTCATGAGCTTATGTTTACGAGTAAAACAGACTGGTACCAGAATGTAAGGACTGGAAGTCCTTCACTGGATAAAGAGGAAAAGGGGCTCAAGGGACGGGCAGAAGCCAGATATTTCTAAGACCAAACAGGATAGTTTTTTTATTACTGGCTCAGAGAGAAGTAGGGATCAGTTCTCTGCTGTACAATCTGAATGGAAGAAACACAAAAGAAAGAGAATGAGGATAGAAAAGGAAAACTCACCTGGCTCAGAGAGAAGTAGGGATCAGTTCTCTGCTGAGCCAGGAAGGAAGCACTGAGACGGAAGACTAGAGATATTGTGACATCTAGCTTCTAATCTTGTGAAACCCTGACAAAGGAGGGAGGGGGTTTACACAGAACGAGTTTTATTTCGGATGGAGTCTCAGTTGCTGAGTGAGCTTGTCAGCGATTTGAGAAGCCACGCTTTGACAAACAGCTTACCAAACGCATGTCGATACTATAGCAACGTTATTTTTGGCGCACTTAATGTTTCAAATGTCTCCTTTTTTACACGAGTTCAAGACTTGAAAGTTTGAGGCACGTTAAGGCTCCTTTTTTATAGAATCTCCATAACTTATGGGTATTCTAGAACATGTTCACAGCTGAATGTGTCCTTTGGTTTGGGTCTCAATCATGTGTAACTATAAACGAGGAAGAGACAAGATGGGTGCAAAAGAATTTACTGGAGATTACAGGACTACAACAGTGGAGGAGAGTGGAGGCTACGGTGGAGGAGAGTGGAGGCTACGGTGGAGGAGAGTGGAGGATACGGTGGAGGAGAGTGGAGGCTACGGTGGAGGAGAGTGGAGGCTATGGTGGAGGAGAGTGGAGGCTACGGTGGAAGAGAGTGGAGGGTATGCTGGAGGATAGAGCAGGGTATGCCGAAGGACAATGGAGGGTATGCTGGACAGTGGAGGCCAACCCTAGTGGAGGACAGTGGAGGCTAGCTATAGTGGAGGCGTCGGCTGAGGCCGGCCTCTCAAGGTGTGAATCCCCTTCACGTATGCTGCTGACGGCACCACAGCTTCCAAATGTCTCCAAGCTCCTCTCCACAAGTTACACCACTCCCTTGATATCTGATTAGCCGCAATCAAAGTGCATCCACCTTTATATGCATGAGCTTGTACAACCTGGTCTATTTGAAAACACACTTGATGACAGATTGTTTTTGCGATGTTTGATGCTGTGTCTAAAGCCATCCAGGAGAACGATAAAATCTCTCATAGTCGTGATAAGCACAAGTTAAGTATGTATAGCAAAACCTCTCCACCCAAAAACGATCATGTAGTACAGATTGGCATATACTCTCTCGAATGGGTCCTCACTTGAATCCTATTTCGCCGGTGATAGGCCATCACACAGTGTCTACCAAGTTAACAGCTGGTGTCCCCACTTTTCTCAATAAACCTTGTATGTTCCTCAATGCCTACGGTTCTTGAGAGGAAACTAACCAACAAGACTAGTCTGTGATCCGATCATCTTTGTTGAAGATCCCAGATCTCTCTCTCTTCCTCTTATCAGACTACCTAGATCCCAGCCATTTGACATTTTGATTTTCGTGAAAGAAAGAGACAATCATAAGAGAGAAACAAAAGCAATGTTGGTTTTTGTTCAAATCTATGTCGATGCGTTATGTGGTGATTGGTATGAAAGCTCCAGTGCTGGAAGAAAGGCTCAACAGACGACGGATTTGGTGATGAATTGTTGCAAATCTAATGAGAAAAAAAAGGGTCAGCAAGAGTAGATGAAGGGGGGGGGGGCAAGAGGAGAAAGGGAAGAAACGGACCATCGATTGTGGTGTTTTCTCTGATGACAAGGGTGACGGGACAATTGTCGGAGTTATTAGGGATGATGACCTTATCAGCGTCGAGCGACCAAGCCTGCGTCTCGATCCATTTCTGGAGGAGGGCGGGGTCGGTAAGATTGAGATAAGCGGCGAGCCTGGTGCGGTCGATGGAGCGGAAGCAGCTGGCCACGCTCCGGCCGATCGACCGGCGGACCAGATCCGCAAACTGCCCAATGCTCCCCACTACCGCCCCCAAGGGCTCGTACTCTGCCGACCCAAGATCCGCCCAGAACTTGATAAACTGTCGCGTCTGAAGCGTCCGCGATAACTTCGAGAGCAGTTCGATCAGGTTTAACGTCGCCTGGGGCGTCAGCAAACTCGACTGTGTTCCCCATCATCATTCGGTCCCCCGTGGAAAAAAATTCATCCTCATTAGCACATTTACTCCCCTTCTCAAATCAACATCGAACAAAAAAAACTTCCAATCAACGGTTAATATGAGACTTACCATTCGATCGCCACATAGACTTAAGCATAAGTTAAAGTCACTATCGAATGGTCGATGGACGATACTCAAGAGGAGGATCTTAATAGTGATCGAGTCATGGATAGCCTCGATAGGATTGCTAGGATTCTCGGCGGCCAAGGGGACCAGGTCGGGGTTGAATTGATACCTGTTTTCCAACCAAGAGATCCCGAGAATGAGTAAATTTGAGGAATTCAAGTGATGTTTAAAAAAGGGGGGAAGGAGGGAGGGAGAATGCAGACAGTTTCAAGGTGGCAAAGTTGGCCAAGGGGTCGTAGAAGGCTTGGTTGCATTGTTGGGTCAGGTAGTCTTCGAGCACCTGGACTTGAGTCGGGTCGTATCGTTCGACGCCCAAGATCAACACCTGGATCGCTTCGGGTCTCTCCGGTGGACTCGACCATGTCTGATTTCCCATTTTTTTTAATCGGGGAGAAAAAATATCAGCTTCGTTTTTTTTAGATTTTGCATTGATGCTTTGGATGGAAAACTTTCGTACATGGGTCACCAGATGGTTGTTGATGTTGGCTGGGTTGGCGGCCATCGTCTTCGATCGGTTCTGCGTTTTTTTTTTTTTTTTGGTTGCAGGTGGTTGACAAGATTCGGCAGGGCGGCGGTTGGGTGGCCAGTGGCGTGTCAGCCGGGCCCTCCTTCGCACTCCAATCCGCAGTCGTCCCTTGTAAGCCCCGCAATCAAGCTCGGACCCCCCTTCCCCCTGAAATTCACAGAAATCACAAGGTTTGTACATAACTGTTGAGGAATTCAAACAACTCCACTGCGCAATCATACAGAAGGAGACACTTTCCTCCAAGTTTTGACATACAAAATTTTTGGCAATAAAAAACAGCATAGTTGGTCTGAAGCAGGTCCGAAAGACTGATTGAGACTACACCCTTCAGCCTTCATCCAGTTGGTTCAATAGCCCCGGTGGATCAGCCACCGGATTTTAATGAGCCTCTTGAGATTTCCTTGTGCAAACAAGATTCCTTAATTTGATTCTCGATGGTTCGGAGATATTGACAGAAATTCCTTCATTTTTTGGGAGATAGCTCAGGTATCAGGATTGATATGGGCATGTTGATCTCAAATAATAAAAGAGTTGGGATACTACAGAGTGACCTTCAAGATAACAAAAACTATTACAATATCATCATTACGAATGATTATGACATCTCAAAGAGAGCAAAAGGCAAGGAACCTTGATCTTCACCTGAAGCTCCACTGTCTGATGGCTGCACTCTCCCCCACCCGCACCATAGCCACCACACATCCACTGCAGCTAACCTTCACCGCACTATGGTCCTCTAACTGCCTCTACTTCATCCCTTGTACATTTTGAAAACTGCGTATCTGCCAGAGCGCGGTCTCAAATCGCTTATAGGACTTTTACCTGAAACAAATTAAGTTCAGGAGTCACTCTATCCTTACTATGAATCTTTACTATTTATCGCTTACAAGACAGCCAGTCTTTTGTCCTTCAAACTAAGTTCACATCCACCAAATCACACTCGTCTCAGCAAATCAACCATTTGAGGTTTTGCCATCCAGATTCTTACAAGTATGAAGTTTTCTTTGGGATACAGTTTTCTTACCCTACTAATTCCTCAAGCTCAATGCCGATTGAGCCAGCGGTCTTCATCACCCGCAGAGGAACTGAAAGCAACGGAGACGAGTATTAGTTCAAGCAACAGGTTAAGCAATCCAAAACCTACAAGGGAGCCATCGCGGGGTCACACTGACTGATTCCGGGGATTCTTTGTGCATAGGTTTGGCCCCAGAGGCCTGGTCAATCATAGCGGCGAGGAAGGGCTCCCTGAGATCGATTTCTTGAGTGAGTTTTTCAAGCTTGTCTGACCTATCTTTACCACGATTTCATCGGGCAAATTGATCCGAACAGTGGTTCAGCACCCATCAGGAGCGTAGCTACTGACCATCGAATATCCCGATAGGTCGCTGGAAACCTATGGAGGGTGATTCCAGGAGGAATCCCCCCGTGCAGGATTCAGCGCCTTCTATTGAGACTCATTCAGATAATTATCACGAGTATGGACATCGAGACAAAAAAATGAAGGCGCATGCTACCGACCAGGGAAACACAAGCAAAGCAAAGCTGGTGGGAAAAAGTGATGATCAAGATTGGTTAAACTTGAAATTAGGTCCAAGTCAGCTTATTTTCGGGCTTTCTAGTTCATGATAGATTTTAAGAGCTCTACTAACGCTGATGTATTGTAATCCATCCGGCCAGGTATCCATCCGCTACACGCAAAATATGTTGATCAAGAGCGCGTTTTTGCAAATGCACCCGGTAGACCAGAGGCTCAAAAATCAATTTCTTTGGTGGAATCGGAAGTGGCAATGGTACTGCCAAACTCAGGGACTGGTTCCAGAACCTCCGTTGAAAGGTTCGCAAAACAAAATCTAATCAATGCTGATAGGAAAGATAGCTCTCCAAAAAATCATTCAGCAGGGCGAAACACAGATGGGAGTTTGGGAATATATGGAAACAATAGTAAAGGTATTCATGAAGACCCAGGTGAAGAAATTCAAATTCCAGGGAACACTCATTTTCCAAGGGATGAAGTTTATTTTGAACACACAAGTCCAGATGTCTGGGCCTGGATCTACACCATGAAGCTGGGAATATCTACTATGCTTTATTGGGAGATTATGGAGGAAAAAGAGAGAGAGATCTCAACATTTATGACTTCCCTTTATTCTGTTTTACATCCATTGATGACAGACAAAGAATTGGTTCCAATTAATAAATTAACAGACCCAAATTCAAAAAACACCTTTAAAGATTTTGCACATCTTCTTTGGTGTGTGAATTCAAGATTTCTGAGTATTTTCAATCGAACACAAGAAGACCATTATAGAGAGCAGTCAAACATGCACAAGTGGGTCTTGAACCTCTTTACTCATTCAAGAATAGATGATTGCCTTCCAAGAGGAAGGTATTCCAGGGACACTTCAAACTTTGAACCAAAACAAAGGTCTCTCACAAGTCTTGTTTTCAAAGCCTTATCTGCTAGATATACCCATCCAACTCATGATGTTCTCAACCCTGAAAGCCAGTGCATTATGGAATCAGTTTCCTCCAATCAAGTACTCATGTCTGAGTCTGTGGTCAACATTATGGCATCTTATTACAAATCTCAAGCAGGTTTGATGAGCTGTGAATGTCAGGAAGAAAAGAAAACTAAGTGGAAAATTCTATTTCCCAAGGATGATCATTTCCCCATTGTTTTAAAACAAATCCAATGCTTGGATTCAATCTATATTTGCAAAAAAAGATCCTGGGAATTCTTTAAGGTAAAAATTCAGGATTTCAATTTCTTACCATGGAAGAATGACTTGGATGAAGAATTGTACAGAATGGAAAACTACATTGGGATTTCTCCATTTGAAGTTATAAACAAATTTAGAATTCAAAGAATCATGATGAAAGAAGATCCAAAAAAAGGGAAATTAGTTGAAGGAAATTTGGAAAATCAAACAAATAACTTTAATATTGAGAATGAAAGTTTTTTTGAAAGTAACTCTGTCAAAAAATGGTCATTTATTACCAAGTATAAAATCCATTATGATAAATTCATTGAGAGATCCAATTTGAGAAAGGATACTATGAGAATAGCAAATCTAGGATTATGGAAGAATTCACAAACAGCCATTCATGTACTTAATTCATACCCTAGATTGATGTTAAACAGAACCTTCTTTTATGAAATTGAAAATATGCTCAATCTAATTTTGAAGATGAATTGTCGATTGATTCACAGCTTGGGTCACCCTTCTGATGATGTTGTTTATGTGAATGAACAAAAGGGGATCCAAGATGAATTTTATTTCCTCCTCAATTTTTCAGATACTGCTCCTACTGCAAGAAAGTTCTACAAGGATAGTCCAGGTCTCATGAAGTATGAAGAAATGCAAACACTGATCAGAGAAGCCTTGAATTTTGACAGAAGGGATGACAGATACAAGAAAGATGAGTTGATGGGACAAGCAGCAGTAGATGTCATGATCTCGTATTACTACCAATTGAATCCAGAAAAATTCTTGCAGGTATTTTTAAATAAAGAGACTTTCATTTCAAGCTTGATCCGTATTGTACAGATGACTGAAAGGAAAGGCTCACATGATAAGTTCATGCTCAAGGCTTTCAAAAAACTCCAATACATGAAACTCTTTCCTTGGAAAAATTATTTCATAAAAACATCATATGATTCTGAAGTCATCAAAATGTTTTTTCAAGATCAGAGAGGCCAATTGATGTCTTCAAAGTAAGAATGCTTTAATTTCAAACCTGTTACCAAATCCCACATCTGTTCTATCCTTGAAATGTTGCTCTTGTTGAAAGCTGACCAGAGCTTGGCTCATCCACAGGAGATAAATAGAAATCATTGATAGGTTTCATTGTTTAAACAATTCATAGAGTTTAAAACAACTGCACCAGTCCTTCTGTAGGGTATATGCATCAAATGTATGAAATTCCAGAGCACAGAAGTATCCATGGTCTCAAATTTTCAAATTGATTCTTTGACATTTGACCAAATGGCATCATCTGCATAGGAATTGAGCTCTACTCTCAATACTCCAATCTGCTTTCTAGTGAAAACCATACCTGATAGGATGTTACGGTTGATTTTCCTCAAAGTTTCATTGTTTGAGAGCTTGGGATATCAAAATCAAGCCTGTTTCACCTCATTTTTTAGGCCCTGTTTGGAAGCAAGTCACGATATGTGATTTGGCTAAGTTTTGGCCCGGATTCAGACCGTGCAATATAAAATGATATAAAATTTTTGCACAAACTCCTGCCAAATCTTGACTCAAAATTACAAATTGATGAAATTTTACCCGGAGAGGCAGAGAATTTTCTTCGAAGAGAAAATATTTTTGGGCAAAAAAAAGTGACTTTTGTTGGAAAGACTCAAGGGTCGGAAAAAGAGGGTGAGAGCCAATGATTTTCATTTGCTAGTAGAGCCTACACGTTAAATAGACTACGTACAACAAGTTCAGTCTGTGGTTGAGAGAAATGAATATCAAAATGAATAAAACAGATTAACATATGCTTGAAAAGATGACTGGAATAAATGTAAGTTGATAAAGACTAGACCAGGGTTCAAAGACTACAAGGATTTCAGCACTAGACAACATAACAAGATATCACGCAGAAACTATCAAGAAACAAAGTAAAAATCATGTAAATTATTTATCAAATCATATTTAATTTAACATTGAGATAGATTAGTTTTTTAGGGATGAGAAGAAAAGAGACAAAATTCCAACACAAATTAAGGACAGCCAAACGGGGCCTTAACTTGTCAATTTTTCGATTTGGGTTTCTGCACTTGAAAATTGATTATGCTGGTAGGTGGATGATCAGTGATAGAATTGGAAGACTAGTTTAGTCTGGTGTATTAGTATTCTGAAATTAAAAGGTGATGGTAAAAATTCCACACTGGAACCTATGCACCACACCAACGGTGGGCCAGTTACACTAACCGTAGTGTTAACTTTTTAAGCTACACTACACAAAAGTTACCGTTAGCGGGAATTTTTGGCCCACTAACACTACAGGATTTTTGAAAAAACAAAAAAAAACTTTAGCGTAGTGTTAGCTATCTTTAAAAAGGCACAACTAACACTACCCAAAATCCTGTTAGTGAAGTTTTAGTGGTGTTAGTGGGTGAACCCACTACACTACATGGTAGTGTAGCTTTTTGCAAAGTTACACTAACAGTTAGTGTAGTGGTACCCTCAGTTACACTAACTGTTAGCGTAACTGGTGAAAAAGTTACACTAACTGTTAGCGTAACTGATTAAAAGTTACATGACCACATGACTAGCATTAGTATACCCTGAAGACAGTGCCTGATTGGGGGGCCTACATCCAGATCCCCTCAATTGATCATCATTTTTTTTCAGTGGGTAATGAGGGCCACTCAATTTAGCCCCCTGCCAATTTTTAACACTTACTCGTAAGACCACATTCTCCTGTCAGACTACCTTGAGATTATGGGTTCAATTCCCCCTGAGATCATACTTTACTGGGTTCCATTCCCACGCTTGTTCAATTTCCACTTTCACATCATGTAGCAAGGGGGGGGGGGGTTGAGGTGTAACCATGATGTATCACCAGAGTGTGGTGGAGCTGTTGGCATGAACCATGGCAACTACCACCCAAATAACCTTACAACCACAAGGGTCTGTAGCCTACACGGCCTGTAAGCAGGTGACAAAATTTGGATTTTGTCACTTCCGCAGTGACTGTGAAGTGACGAAATTTGAATTACGTCACCTGCTTGCGGGCTGTGCTAGTTGGTAAAGGAAGCACTCTGGTATGTGACTCAGCATTGCTGAGGTTGTGAGTTCAAATCTCACCAGGCACATGCTCTGTTTGTTTGTCTCTGCATCTTGTGCTGTTCATTTTCTGCGGGATTGTGTGTGATCATAGGACATTGAAAATTGTCACTATGGACCTCGGCCGTATCAGTTATATGGACAGTTCACGCGACTTGTCCATTGAAAACACAAAGCAGAGGAAGAGGTTTCAAGAGCATAAATTCTCACTTGACATGTCAATTTCTCTAATTGATGATTTACACTATACTACATGTGTAGTGTAACTTCTACTGTAGCGTAGCGTAACTAGGCATGTAGTGTAGTGTAGTGTAGCTTAATTTGGTATAAGTTACACTAAATGTTAGCTTCAAATTAGTTACACTATCTGACAGTCAAAATTTTGTTAACGCAAAAAAGTTACACTAACTGTTAGTTTAGCTGAGATTATTTGAAGCTAACACTACCAAAAAATTTGAGAGAAAAATTTACACTACACTAACAGTTAGCATAGTGGGGTTTAGCGTCAGCTAACACTACAGAATTTCCAGGAAATAAAAAGGCCACTACACTAACAGTTAGTGGTCAAATAGCGTAGTGTAGCGTAGTGGCCCACTGTTGACCACACTATCTTAGCACAACTCTCTGCTTTTTCAAGATTCTGAACATCACCCTGTGTAAATACGGCCACAACAGTGAAGAGCCTTGAGATGAATCTGTCAGCCACAGAGTACATGTCACAATACATTTCAAGTACCAAGTAAATGCAAACACCTGTACATACTTACATACACCATGGATGCCAGTTGACCTTATGCAGACGTCAAGTATTTTGTTGGCCTGACCCTCCTGACACTACCAGAAAATTTAGGTGACTGACCCAATGTCTCTTAGCCGGAGTGAGAACTCCTTTGGGAATGGTGGCAGTCTTGTGAGGGGGAAATAGCAGATGAGATATATCACGTATGTAATGATCTACTACAAATGTTACCGCTGGTTTGAATGAACTGCCCCTCTATTGAGTTTTGGCAATTGGATCCTTTGGTCCCAAACCAAAGAGAATGGTGTCATTATCATTGGTTTGAAACCAAAGAACAAGCAGAGCTGGGTGAGCTGGGTATATGAGCTGGGTGAGCTGAGTGAGCTGGGTAAAAACCAGTTTTGCCATTTTTTTTTATAAAAATAAACAGCCCTAACCAACCTAAACCCTAAACCTAAACCCCAAAACCTAACCCTAAACCCTAAACCTAAACCCTAAACCTTAAACCTAAACCTTAAACCCTAAACCTGAACCCCAACCCCAAACCCTAAACCCTAAACCTAAGCCCTAGCCCCAAACCCTAAACCTAACCCTAAACCCTAAACCTAACCCTAAACCTAACCCTAAACCTAACCCTGAACCTAACCCTAACCCTAACCCTAAACCTAACCCCCCATTGAAGCAGGGGCCATTGGATTTCCAACAACTACGCCAGGTCCCCAATGGCCCCACAATACCCAGGCAGATGAACAACTCCGCTCAAACCTGTCCAGGTACTGTGCCTCTCCTGGGCTAACCCTAACCCCCTAACACAGTAAACCTAACCCTAACCCCAAAAACCTGCCCCCTAGCCCCCATCAGGGGATGGGGCCAGTGGGAATCAAACCTACGGCCTGCAGGATGGTCAGATGTTAGGGCCAGGGGAAACCCCCTCCTTAAAGAGAATTTTTCTCAACCAGGCTGAATTGAAGTCTAGTCAGCCCTAACCTATAATCTATAACTGGACAACTTGTGGTTCTAGCCCTAACCTATAATCTACAAATGGCCAACTTGTGGTTCTAGCCCTATACAAGATTCTCAGTGTACATACAAACAATGTGGCTAACTTGTGGTTACCCCGTGCAATGAATATTGACTATGTAAACTAACTAAGGCCAACTTGTGGTTTACATTATGCAATAAGCATTTTTTATGCAAATAAAATTTAAATCCCAAATAACTTTTGACTGAGTGGAGCTAGCCTAGTGGTTCCAGTGAGTGACTATGGGTTAAATGACCCGTAGAATGTGATTATGCCATAATACGCCCAAGAATATATGCCCTTCTACATATTGGACTGTGACTTTATGGAATTCAATACTTGAAACACAATTGGCATACTATACCGGAGGTGTCGGAATCCGCTGTTGGCATTGCGTCAAGGCCCGCCGTCAGCTGATCTTCCAACATCGGCCTTGCTTCAAGGCATGTTGTTGGCTGAACTTCCAACATTGGCCTTGCGTCAGGGCCCACTCAGTGGCATTCCATCCGAACTGCAGAATCCTAAAAGGTCCAAAAAGAAGCATCTCTCCAGGTTCAAGTGTGACATTACAAGTAGGGTGCTACTCATTATAACTGATACACCAGCAGCCACTGCTTAGACAAGTACTGCATTTGTGTCATAGACTCATATACTACCTCTCTTTTTTTCTCCTTCCTGGTATCCTCGAGTCTTTCTTTTTTTTTTCAAGTTCTTTTTTCAAATTTTTTTTTAAACTTTTTTGTCCCATGTAGCCTCTTTCTCTCAAGGAAAGAGGCATAGAATAATTCATTCATAAGTTTTTATTATCAATTTGTTGGTTCGGCTGACTCTTGGTTAAACCAACTCACACTCGTCCTTCACAAAGGCTGAACCAGCTGACGTTGTCAGCTTACTCCTACAGACAAGCCTTTGTTGGCTGCTTGTGTATGAGGGACCATTGGCTGACTATTCGTCAAGCCAGCCATTGTTTTGGGCTTGATTGAATGGCCGGCATTGTTGGCTTGACTGTCCAAAATTGTTGGCCTGCTCAACAGGGCCAAATGGGGTTGGCTGGGTCTGCGGAGGCATCCTGTCCGACTTGATGTCATGCCAACATGGTGTGTCGGGGGTGTTGGCTTGAAACTTGGGTCGGACAGGTCAGGCCTACACCCATCCAACGACCCCTTGGTGGCAGCTTGTCCCTGCGGTAACATCTAGGGCAGACAAGGCAAGCGTGCCCTGTTCTTGACTGCGCAACCCAGCCAATGCAGGTTTACAAAAAATTAAACCCATGGTGTATGTACAGTGGGTTGAAAGAAACATCTGTACCCCTAGTGTGTTGATAATTGCACCCCCACCCCTCCTGGAGGGGTTGGTTTGATTGCATTCCCCTCAAAATCCTGTTTTTCCAAGGAAACAGGCTTCTGAGGGACGGGTAGAAGAACCTGCCCCTCCAGGAGGGGTGGATGGGATTGCATGCCAACCAAGAACCGATATAGCTTGGTTCTTGGTTGTCAGGCAACATAACCAATGACAGATCTTTTTGCTTTGTTAATCTATTCCAAGCTGAGGGAAGATGAATGTGTAACACCAATTCATTTCATACTGATTACTCTATTAGTGCTCCAAAAAAATGATGATCACTTGATTTACATGTGGCATTTGCAGCTCATAGACAAGCAATGCAAGCAAGCAGTCACAAAAAAAATTGATGAGAGAAACAAACCTAAGTAAAAAGAGGATGACTAACAATACAAATAATGTCCAACACTCGTTTGGGGTAGTCTGACTGACAAGTAATTTCAAGATTGAAAAAAATAGATAGAATTCTCAGGCTGGTGTGAGAACTCCTTTGGGAATGGTGGAGCTCCTGTGAGGGGGAAATAACAGATGACATATATCACGTATTTAATGAGCTACTACAACTGTTACGGCTGGTTTGAAAGACCTTCCCCTCTATTATACTACACAAGAGTTAACACAATTTTTTTTGTGGAAAAACTGATGATAGAGAAGCTATGTGTAGCAGTCTCCTATCAGACCTAGATCAATGTGGATTCAGCAGACTATTTGAGTGGAATTGTTGAGAAAGAGGTGTTTTTTATAGGTTTATGTATTTTGAAAAATGATTGATGTATGTAATAATAATGAATGGGAATTTATGAGATGATACTGAATAAAAAAATGTGACTATTGAAAGTTTCTTTCCCTTCTTACTTAATCTTGGTTGAGAGCACAATGGCTTAAGATCTCTTTCTCTTGTTTTAAGAGCACATGTTGTACTGGTTGTTACTTTCCTTTTTCTATGCTTCTCACGGTATGAATGATCTCAATGGGGCACTTGATTAAGATCACACTTGTTGATGTAGTGATTAATTGCTCTGTTCTGTCTGGTTGCTGATCAGATGAGATGATGAAAAATTGGAACCCCTCCTTAAATAGTCTATTTTACAACCCAGCTGACTTGTGGTTCTAGCCCTAACAAATAATATATAAATGGCCAACTTGTGGTTCTAGCCCTAACCTATAATCAATATGCATCTAAAGATCTGGCCAAATTGTGGTTTTGCTACTATACAAAATTCTCAGTGTACCTACAAACAATGTGGCCAACTTGTGGTTACAGTATGCAATAAATATTGAATATATAACCAAACTGAGGCCAACTTGTGGTTTAAATTATACAATAAGCATTTTGTATGCAAATAAAATTCAAATCCCAAATAACTTTTGACTGAGCGGAGCTAGCCTAGTGGTTTTGGTGAGTGACTATGGGTTAAATGACCCATAGAATGTGATTATGCCACAATATGCCCAAGAATATATGCCCTTCTCAATATTGGACTATGATTTTATGCAATTTGATACTTGGACACCATTAGCATACTACACCGGCAGAAATGAGTTGGTTGTTCCAATGGCCACTATGACAACAGAAACAACCAGTAAGACATTGTTGATTATCTTTGTATTTGGGCTTCTTCCTTGGCCCCTGGTCATTATCATCTCAGCCAAGACAGGTAGAATGGTAAACATTACAAAGGATGCAAAGGCCTATTATGATTCATATCAATGAGTGTAAAAAGAAAGAAGTTGGTTGATGAGAGAATTGCATTTTTGTTCCCAACATTAAGGAAGCACAAAGGAAGAATAAAAAAAAGACTTGACCCCTCAAAATCCCATCACTCGCTTGAAGTTAGGCAACAATATTGACACAATCACAACCAAAGAAGTAACAACAGTTTGGGAGATTGTCCTACCCAACGCTTTAGTAAACATGGCCAGTTTGGTCTTGCCAGAAGATCCAGGGGCAGCTTCATGGTAGGAACCACAGAGATCAGAGTGAGTTGATTGAGGGGTGAGCTGATTGGGGTGGCTGGAGACCACATTCTTGGGCAGGACTTGGCCAGTAGGCACGGGCATGGAGAATTTTTGGATCACGGGGACATTAAGTGTAACCAGCCAATTCTTAGCCACTTGGTTCTTGGATCTTTATTAGCGGAAAATCATGATTCATCGGGTTCAAAGAGCAAACTTGGCCACAGGGCTTATGCCAACCATCCAGATGCCAAAGTGGTTGATAGTGGTAGGGAGGCCGGGGGCCCGGGTGTGTGGAGGAGATCTTGCGTGATTTCTTGGCTAACATTGTTGCATCAATACTTGATACCCTCTCTCCTCCCAAGGAGGAGAGGTAGCCTTGCTTGCAAGGAACCTTACCAATTGATACTGGTAACGTTTGTTGGGGTTGGTTTCTTTAGAGGCCATGGGTACATGAATCAATAATCAATAGGTTCCCATCACCTCTTGGTGGCGGTTTGCAAGCCCTACCTCTTGGTTAAGATGCCCGCCAGCCAAGAACCAAGCCATATTGGTTCTTGGTTGGCGTGCAATCCCACCTGGAAAAACAGGACTCCAAGGGGCATGCAATCCCCGCCCCTTGGTTAAGATGCCCACCAACCAAGAACCAAGCTATATTGGTTCTTGGTTGGCGTGCAATCCCACCCGCACCTCAGAAGCCTGTTTCCTTGGAAAAACAGGACTCCAAGTGGCATGCAATCCCTGCCCCTTGGTTAAGATGCCCGCCAGCCAAGAACCAAGCTATATTAATTCTTGGTAGGCGTGCAATCCCACCTGCGCCTTGGAAAAACAGGATTCCAAGGGGCATACAATCAAAAATGCCCCTCCAAGAGAGGCGGGTGAGATCACATGCCCCTTTTGGAGGGGCAAGGCATGGGTGGGTGGGGAGGGAGGGGGTGCAATTATAAATGCACGTACCCCTACTTACATATTTTTGGGGGTCATAATTATTCTTTTTGGAAGGTTTTTTTAGGGGAAGTGGGAGAAAGGGGGTCAGGGTAAATGATTACAGGGCCAAAAAACCTTCATTGCAGCCCAAAAAAAATATTTTAAAAAAAATCATCAATTTTTCTATTTTTTATTAAGGGCCTTAATAAAAAAACACGGTTTTTCCGCGTTTACACGCGGTTTTGCTGCGGCACAGCGCACGGGGTTTCCGCGTTTAAACACGGTTTCGTAATTAATTTTTCATGAGTTATTTTTCCATTTTTTTTTTAATTTTTAAAGTTGTTTCCTACACTTTGAAAGGTGTAGAATTTAATGGTAAAAACCATTTTGCATCAAAATGAATTTTAATTATTAATTTTTTTTTTCACTTATTTCTCAATTAATTGTTTGCAAACATGTTTGTACCTTATTTTTTATGCTTTTTTGGAATTTTAAGATTATTTCCTGGGTTTCAATGTGCGTAGAATTTAATGGTGCAATTCAATTTTGGGTTGGTAACTAAATCAGGATTCTTATCAGGAATCAGACTTATTTAGGGACCACGGGAAATGATCAGTGTGTTTTCAGAAATTCAAGATTATTTCCTTTTAATTTCTAAGAATTAGTAAAAGAAATAGGTATAGGAACAGAAAAGCTAGAGACGGTTCCTAAACCAATGTAGGGTGGGTGGGCGGTCAGGAAAAAATTTATTAGATAAATTAAGTGAAGGATGTATAGGATGAGTGATAAGATTAAGTTTTTGGATGGGAGAAAGTTTGTGGAAAGTCTGAGTGGGATTCTTTATGAGGGGAAGGAAAAACTTTCTTCGAGCGCAAATTAGTCAGATTTGTTTTGAACCAGACTGGGACTATTTGTGCTCGACTAAAACTAATCTTATCCGCACACATGGACCCCAGCTCCTTCCCATAGTGCCTTGGTCAGGTGCTATACATCCATTTAGTGCTTCTAACTCATTCCTGTGGTACTCATGTCAGAGATGTGCCGCAGCTCATCTCTTAGGATTGCAGTGGAACAAGTTCCTCCAGCAGTCCGGAGTGTGGGTTGGTAACTAAATCAGGATTCTTATCAGGAATCAGACTTGTTTAGGGACCACGGGAAATGATCAGTGTGTTTTCAGAAATTCAAGATTATTTCCTTTTAATTTCTAAGAATTAGTAAAAGAAATAGGTATAGGAACAGAAAAGCCATTCACTCAGGTGTAATTTCTAAACTGAGATAGGAGCCTGAGCCTAGTGACAAAAACCTATATCTCCGATCTAATTAGACAATTTAACACAAAGATCAATCTTCCTCCCACAACTCATTTAACTCTGCAATGATCTTCTTGCTATCTTCTTTATCTTCGGCGGTGTATTCTCTAATATATAATCTGTAAGAATTTGAAATCCAGCGTCCCAAAAGACAAATTTCTTCGATTAGTGTCCCCAAAGCGTACCTTAAGGAGGCGCCACCGACTCGAAAGGAGTGTCCGAGGAGACCTTCAAAACCTCCTACTCGAAGAACCAATTGGATCCTGTTCACCGAAATCGGCCTCGTTAGATGTCGCCTAACTCCATCTCTGTAAAAACCGAATAATGAGGTGTCTGTTCCATTCACTTCTTCTAGTCTTCGTTTCAATGCTAATACGGGGCATAACATATTTTTCAAACTATGTACCACAATTTCTTGGGGTTTACCGGGTTGCGCTGTTTTGGCGTTACGAACGGTTATAATAGCCTTCTCGCCTATTGGCGACCTGACGAGTCTGACGTCTGATGTCAAAACTGAGTTTTCCGAATTTAAGTCTCCGAAAGGGTTGTCGTAAGTAAATTCGCCTAAACGTGCCATCCCCCAAAAAGAAACAATCGCCAAATCCATTATTGTTTTATCAATATCTCCGCCGGGGAATAATGCGTTCGAAAGCCAGATCAAATGCTTCAGTAGAATTGGTGGTTTCTTCGGTTTCTTCGGCAGCGTTGCATCTATTCTGAACGATGCTTTAAGCAATAGTTCGATTCGTTTGTCTGCTATCTCTGGGTATTCTTCGTTGTGAAACGTATGCCATGCTTTTAAACCACACAAATACTTTTTGATTGACGGTGCCGATATCTTGTACGAGTTGTTTAAATATAAATTTCTACCCGCCCAGAAGCAAAAATCTTCGATATCTTTCTTCGACGCCGGTAACTTGAAATTGTGATTACCGGATAAATTTTTAAAGAATATAAATTTCTTCACTGCAGCGTTGTATCCTAGAATAGTATTCCACTTCCACCCACTCAATAAGTGGGCGTTTAACGTAGAAATAGGATAATGAGTCGTTCCATTTGCAGCAAACGCTTTAATTTTGTTTAGATGCCCCACTGTTAGTGGTTGGTTATCTACTATCACTATGTCTTCTGATGAATCGACCATTTCCATTGCCAAAAAGTAGAAAAATTATGAACGTCGGTAAAAGTAAAGGATTTTTTAGAAAAATTAGATTTGTACGCCAGTAAATGAAAGAAACGAAAACAAAGTATTTATATTCAGGAATAGAAAAAGGGAACATTAATCAAGCGTGGCATAGGTAACACTCCCATTCGACAGGGATTTCAAAAATTACCCCATACCCTTTTTTCATCTTACTTGTTTAAAACCCAACGGTTCATTTTCAATCCTGAAATTAGACCCATTTTTTGACTTGCTTTTTTACAGCTTAATTTTCATCATTTTTTGACATTTTAAATTTATTTCCTATACTTTAAGACATGTATAAAATTATGGTAACATTCATTTTTCCCCAAATTGAAAACTATACCTTGAATACTGCATTTGACACATTTTTTTAATTAATTCATCACTTTTCACCTAATTGTTTGCATACATGTGTGTACCTTATTTTTTATGCTTTTTTGAAGTTTTAAATTTTCTTCCTACATTTAAACGTGTTTACAATTTAATGATAACATCCAATTGTCTTAAAACTCAAAGGTTCATTTTTAATACTGAAACTAGTCACTTTTTTCAATTAATTCTTTACATGTTATTTCTCAATATTTTTTTACATTTTAAATTTATTTCCCACACTTTAGGACATGATTAAAATGATGGTAACAATAATTTTGTATAAAAACAAAGATTGTTATTGAATACTGCGTTGGACATGTTTTTTTAATGTTTTGTTAATTGCTTTTTACCGGCTGGGTTTTAATCATTTTTTGAAATTTTAAATTTATTTGCTACATTTAAAAACGTTTAAAATTGAATGGTGAAGTCCAATTTCCCTAAAAATACAAGCTTCAATCTTAATACATGAGTGTACCCCGTTTCTTGCATAATTTGTACCGTATACAAATTGTATTTGAATGAAAAATGGATACAGCCAAAAATTTTAAAACCTTTCAAAGTGTAGGAAATGAACTTGAAATTCCAAACAATAAGGATAATTAAGTGTTTAAGAATTAATCAAGGAAACACGTCAAAGGCATTATTAAAGATACAGATTTTATTTTGATGCAAAGTGATTGTTACCATCATTTTAAACATGTCTGAAAGTGTAGGGAACAAATTTAAAATGTCAAAAAAAAATGAAAATTAAGCTCTTAAAAATCAATTGAAAAATATGACTAATTACAGTATTCAGAATGAACCTTTGAGTTTTAAGAAAATTGGATGTTACCATTAAAGTATAGGAAAAAAATTTAAAATGTCAAAAAAATGATGACAATTAAGCTGTAAAAAATCAAGTCAAAAAATAGGTCTAATTTCAGTATTAAAAATGAACTGTTGAGTTTTAAAAAAATTGGATTGCACCATTAAATTCTATGCACATTGAAACCTATGAAATAATTTTAAAATTTTAAAAAGCATAAAAAATAAGGTACAAACATGTTTGCAAACAATTAATTGAGAAATGAGTGAAAAAAAATAATTAATAATTAAAATTCATTTTGATGCAAAATGGTTTTTACCATTAAATTCTACACCGCGGTAGAAAATTAAATACAAAACCGTGTGTAAATGCGGTGTGGTAAATAATACTGTGTTTCTACGCAGAAAATATAAAAATTTCTTATTAGCTCTTGATTAATTCAAGATAGGGTAAAAATAACATCAAAAATGGAACCCTCAGGTAAAATAACCCCTAGTCACCCACTACAACCATACCCTTATCTCTTATAGTTTAGAAGTTACACGTATTTCAAATATAGGAAATCCACCATTAGAAACCAGTCACTTTTCCCAAATATTTTTTTTGCATCAATGGGCCCCAAAAGGGGTTAAACAAAGAACCAGCATGTTTAAAAATGGGTGGATTTTTTAAAACCAGTCAATTAAATAATGGTGGATTTGGTTATATTTGATACCCCCTAGTGATTATGAATACAGGATGAATATTGAATATTGAGTCCCTTTGTATTAAATTGAATACCTTTACGCTATTTTGAATCCCTTTGTATTAGTGATATTGCATGTATGCATCCCTTTGATCATACATATGCATCCCTTTATTCATACATATGCATCCCTTTATTCATTCATATGCATCCCTTTGTAGTAGTATCTTTCAGCCTGTACCCTGGGGCCAAAATCCCTCATATTTGTCTATATAAGGAGGCCTCTGCCTGCCAGTTGTTCCCTCCATCATCCCACCAGGGGACCATCATCCCATCAGTGGACCAGATCATCTCAACCACCCTTATATATCAATCCATCTTATATATATTTCATAACTACAGTCATAGCCACATTAACGGTGCGGAACTATATACATTTAAATACAGATTTAACACTTTCCTCTTCATCATAAACCAAAAGTGCCCTGAACCATATCCAACAACAACAACTTCATCAATATAACCAACAGTCAATAACATCTTTTATATCCTCACACATATCAATCGGCAGCTTCATCTTGAACTTATCCCTATCACTATATATAAAAATGCCAAGCTAAGCTTGGTGGTCTTGTTATTCTGATAGTATAGAAGGGCAGAGCTTGCAACTCCAACATACCCTTCTCCATTCAGCAAAAGGGTTTTCATAACCACTTTTGAGTCTTACAGCGTAAACCGCGTGCGCTGTGCCGCAGCAAAACCGCGTGTAAACGCGGAAAAACCGTGTTTTTTTATTAATGACCAAAATTTAAGTGAAAAAAGTGTCTAATGTGAGTATTCAAAGTGAACAGTTGAGTTTTAGAAAACTTGGATTGCGCCATTAAATTCTGCATGTTTTAAAACCTAGGAAATAATTTTAAAATCTCAAAAAAACATAAAAAATAGAGTACATACATGCATGCAAACAATTAATTGAAAAATGAGTGAAAAAAAAAATTAAGAATCAAAAGTTATTTTCAGGCAAAATGGACTTTACCATTAAATTCTACACGTTTTTTAGTGTAGGAAACAATTTTAAAAAAAAAAAAAAAAAAAAAAAATTAATGGCAACAAACAATTAATTAAAAAAGCGCGTTTAAACACGGATTGCGCGTGTGCTGTGCTGCAGCAAAAGCGCGTCAAAACACGGAAAATGCGGGTTTTTTTATTAAGGCCCTTTTATTAATGCCCTTTTTTAATATTGGTGGGAATAATGAGGGATAAATTGGACGTAGACTTGAGAGCTTGGGGATAATGATGAAGAAAGAAAAATGGAAAAGATAATCAGTAACATTCTTTTTGGCTTGGAGGATTGTTGACAAGTGGTTTGTATCAAAGTTTGAGTTGCTCAGTGCTTGTTGATTACAGACCTGCACTTGAGGGTGATGTTTGAGTGACTGTTCAATTGCTATATTATCCAGATAGGTTGTTTGTAAGGTGATTTTGGCAGGGAAGTTGATGGTCAACTGGTGATCATGAATAATCAGTGGTCAAGAGGGTAACTTGCACCTGAGTGTCACAGTAGGGTGTGACCAAATTTGAGTAAAGTGTGCAGGGGTTCATATTTTTATGTCTACCCACTGTACATATCTTTAATCTGGCAAGCAAAACCCAGTTACCCTTTAACTAAGTTGTGGATGGGATAGACTGACACATGATTCTTTGGGTGTCCAAATTTTTGAGCCAAAAAATCAAGATTTGTTTTTAGACTTTGAGGCTCTTTTTAGCCTTCAAACTTTCCTGGTAGTTTAGAGGTTGTTGTGGTCTGAATATAGTAATTAGAATGGCCCTCTAGCCTACCTTAGAAATTCTTATAGTCTAGGCCATATTTTTTCTATAATTTCCTCAATTGCAGATTTGATTTAATTTGTTGTTACACCGTTTTGAGACTTGAGCAGGATTTTTTGCCACACAAGTGAAGAAGAAAAAAAGAATTTCCCTATGCATTGAATTTTTTCATGTGACTTGAAACTTGACTGGATGTTAAGTAACTACTTAATGATATATCAATCCTGATGGTCATCACACCTTGCTGGCATAGTTGGATTCTTGTCCAACTTCAAAAGCCCTCCAAAACAGCAACAGAAAACTCAACAGCTGCAATTCCAAAGTTCAATCCACACTGAAATCAATTTCCCTCCGACCCCTGCATTCAATCATGTATCTTAATCCAATTCTCATCACAGCATTCATATGCATTCTCCTCCTTGGCCTGGTGAAAGCACCAAAGGACCCAGCACCACCATTGACATGCCCAAAATGCAACATCCAGCACAACCCTCCCAGGAGCATCCACGCAGTAATCAATCTTGAGACAAGGGAGATAAACAAACCACAGGAGTTTGATTGTTGGAAGGCAGGGTGTGTTGGAAAGGTCATGTGTAGACTTTACCATTGCACTGCATGTAAAAGTGATGTGTTGGTGCCCCTCCAAGGTTGCACCTTTCACCAAGGTGTTCCTGACTGCCTTTATAAATAGACAGAAAAATAAAAAAATTCAACACACAAATGGGTAACAAGCATTGAAACCTTACCCCGCAGGAATACACTTTTTCCTGATTTCTTCAGAAGTTCAAATTGATTTCAAGACTATTTTATCTTGTGAGTTCATGATTAAAATTCCAAAATTTTTAGATCCAATTTGAAGGCTTTGTTTAACACAATTCCAAAAACCCTGTATGTTGGTTTGCTGATTTGGGGGTTTCTGATCAATACACACAACTTTTTTGAATTATGAAAAATTGATGATTGACACCTTAGAATGGAATGTAAAATTATAGAAATTTGAATCATGAACCCTGCTATTCACTCTCAAGGTATTGAATTTTGAAGAAAGCTTGGACCAATTTCCAAGTTTGCTGTTCCAAAATCAGGGCATTCCACAATTTTGAGTTCAGGTTTTTTCTTCTTTTTTTTTCTCTCTGCCTTGTGAAATAAAGTTGATGATCACAAACGGTCGGATTAAACCTGAGCTGTGTACCACAACCACATAACCTAAAGACTTGATAATTCTTGAATTGTCCAAGCATTCTGAAGAAATTACGACCGCCTATGAGCAGAGAGAGTGAGTGACCGGTCTTTTATTGATAAACTCACGGGGGGCTCTGAGGATGTCAAGGTTTAGAATGAAGAAGAACCGATCGTGTTGATTTCTTAATAACTAGCTGATTTGAATAGGCTAGTTACAAGTAGGGCCAAAATGTGGTTGGAACAGAAAAGAATAAAAAATAAACCAATTCAATATGACATGAATCAACAAGAGAGTACTCAAACAAGAAGATAGGTTTAGCTAGAGAGCTGATAAGCCCTTTTTCTTCAGGGTTCTTTGACTACAAGAAGGGGGTCAGACATGCATAACTAGGCTAAAAAACAGACTATAATGAATGAGAAAATCAGCTGATGAGATCAATAATTTAAGTGATTTTCGGTGTGAGTAAAAAATAGTATCAGAATTTCAACACGCCTCCGTTACTCATACCAAAAGAACTAAGGAAGGAGAACACAAGGTTTTTATTTCTGGGTTGAAGTAGTGATAGGTTGAAAAAATTGGAGGTGGAGAGTTGACTGTGATGATCGTTGTAAAAGAGTGAGTTGATCGATGTGTGTTGAGGAGCGATCAGAGCGAGGTGAGAAGAGATCGGAGCAAAGTGAGGAGAGATCAATTATCAATGAGTACCAAGGCCTTCACCAGTAGAGCTGTTGAGGGCAGTCTTTGTCAATAGGTCGGAGCTAGCCAGAAGCATGTACGTAGTGAGTGTAATGAGAAGTAGGAGTCTTTGGGGCCTTCTCAGGATACTTGGTCCAACATTTGGTTGGGCGATGTCCGGTCTTCTTACAGTGAACACAGATCGGTGAGACGGATGGAGTCGGTTCAATTGGTTGAGAAGAAGCACAAGTGTGTAGCATCATTGGAGGATTGATTGATGATTCCTTCTTAGATTCTTTCTTGATTTTATTCGTGACCGAGTATGATTCGAGTCTTTTGACAATTGCTTCAAAGGATTCAGTGGAAAACCCCATAGCGACAATGTCTCAAAAGGAGCAAAAGTCTTTGCAAGGTGGTTTCCTCAACATAATCATCATTTTCACTTGATTGTCAAGCATAATCCCAGCAAGCACAAGTTTTTGATTCGCAAGTCTGATTGAATTACAGAATGAGTTCACATCTTCAAATTCGAGATCAAGAAAGACGTCGAGAGCGGTGGATCGAGCTGCTAGATCTGATCCTGCGTACTTCTTTTGCAAAAGTGACCAGAGAGCTTTACCGTTGAAGTGATCGGAAGGAGCCATTGTCGTACTAACAAAGTTGAGCCAGTTCTTCATCCGGGGTCTTTTCATTGTTTTTTAGAACACCAGTGACATAGGTCCAAATTCTGATATCTTCAAGCTTGGCGGCCATTGGAAGAATCCATATAGTGTAGTTAGAGGAGGTTAGGAGAAATCGAGTGGTTTGAGTGATGGTTTCAGAGACGGAATCCGTTTTCGACATGGTGAAGAGGATTTAAGAGGGTTGAGGGAATGTAGCAGTATTTTTGACTGTTAATCATGAAGAAATTACGACCGCCGATGAGCAGAGAGAGTGAGTGACCGGTCTTTTATTGATAAACTCACGGGGGGCTCTGAGGATGTCAAGGTTTAGAATGAAGAAGAACCGATCGTGTTGATTTCTTAATAACTAGCTGATTCAAATAGGCTAGTTACAAGTAGGGCCAAAATGTGGTTGGAACAGAAAAGAATAAAAAAGAAACCAATTCAATATGACATGCATCAACAAGAGAGTACTCAAACAAGAAGATAGGTTTAGCTAGAGAGCTGATAAGCCCTTTTTCTTCAGGTTTCTTTGACTACAAGAAGGGGGTCAGACATGCATAACTAGGCTAAAAAACAGACTATAATGAATGAGAAAATCAGGTGATGGGATCAATAATGTAAGTGATTTTTGGTGTGTGTAAAAAATAGTATCAGAATTTCAACACATTCTTCAAAACACAATACCTGATTATAAAAATAATATCCAGAGGGTTAGTGGCCAACTTGACCTTCCATCAAAATGCACATGCTAGTTTGCTATACACTATGGATTTCATCTTCCCCATTTCAAAATTATTTATTTATTCATTTGGGAGTTGTTTAAATGACTGTCAGCCACAGAGAACATGACACAGTACCTTTCATGTACCAAGTAACTGCAAACACCTGGAAAAGCTTATATATGTGCATATCCATAATGTTGTTTACCTTTACCGCTTGTTATCTTATTCATATCATATCCTATTCTCAAGTTATATTACAATTCTTTATCTTACTGATATTTCTCCTATTTATCCTGATTACATATGAACTCATAGTACTACATTATTTTTTAGTTACTTATCATTTAAATATAGAACTGTTTTGTACATAAGTAATTAAAACTTATCTTTCACTCTTTTCTCTGTGAGATTCCTGTAACACAAGCTGTTCCAGCTCTACATTATTCTCACACAGAGAAATAACGGTTGGTCTGAGGCAGTCAATAAAAGATTGGTCTCCCCGACAAATTTTATATTGGCCAGGCCCACAAATGCATGACTCCTTTGTTCTAATGTGTTGGTGGGCCCAGCCAATATAAAATTGGTCTCCCAGACCAATTTTAAATTCCTGTCCTCTGTTTGACTTTACCACGGGGGTTGTAAACAGTACAAACCCTTTTGCAGTGAGAATTCATTATTGGAGGATATGTTAACGTGTACACTTCAAGAGCAACTAGTACATAATTATGATGTCACTCACTGACCACTCCAAATAATTATCAGTCACTCAATTGATGTGCTCATTACCCTGGCCAAAGATCCCTTGGTTCTGAGTGCTCATTATTTCCCTTCTTCAATATTCTGGAACATGCAATCTGTGCCACTTTCACTGATAAATCTCCAGGATATTTAGACACCAGTTAAACACAGTTAACAATCATTTTGATACTTAAATGTCACTCAACTTAAATAAAGCTCTTAATTATTGTTCTTAAGCTACAGTCAATAACTCTACTTATCCACAACACTCAAGAA